TAACATATTAAAAACAAGGAACAAAAATTAAAATAGGAAAGGATTCCAAAGGATTAACCTTGTCTGATGTCTTAAAACAGTATGAAGCAAGTAAACTGTCAAGTGGGAAGTGGGCCTAGAGGAGCAGGAGTCCTTGTGTCTCATATACGATTAGCACACATCCAGTAATTATTTGAACTAAAGGCCTTTCATTGGACTATAAAGTTAGATTTGCAACACAAATGACATTTTAGGAGGTTGGATGAGGAAATGATCAAAGGACAAGTAAAGTTACATCAGGGAGTAAAGTCATTGGTGGAGTTGATGCCTGATGTTGATTGTTTCAGTAAGGACATAAGAAACAAAAATACTTGGTAAAATTAGTTTACAAAGCAGATTTGAATCCAAGTACCCTTGAGTCTAATTGTTAATGAATGTGAAACACACAGCTAGGGAATTTGTGGGTAGAAAACATTCCCTAATTGCACAATCTCTAAATCTTTCCATCTGATTTTAACTATAATGATATGCAAGTAAATCCATACTTCTCAATTTTTCCAACCTTACATGCACACACAATTACTCTCTTCAAACACATGATCCATACTAATAAATGAGTCTTGACATGATAGCATTCTTAGACATATTCAATTTTATTTTCAAGACTGGGGTGTGGGGTGGGTATAGTGGTGAGTATTATTAAATAGGTATTTTCAGGTCCATATTTTGACCACAAGGAAAACCTGAGCTTTAAATAATTTAGGAATGAGCGATGTCACAAGACAAAATAGTTGTACAATTGAATCTAATGCTGTCCTGTTTCTAAAACTCTCTTCCTAATAAACATGAAATGCTACTTTGTTTTCTAAAAACAGGGCATGGACTTCTCACCAACTGCACACTTATTAACACAAATTAAGGTGAAAGAAAAAAAGATGCTGTGATCACTGTACGGGAAAAGAAACTAGGAAAAAAATTCCATGTTTTACTGTGCAAAGGAAAAAGAAAAACATCAGAGAATTCCTCAAAGGCAAAGAAAAAAAAAAAAATCCTCTCATTACTACCGAAGGTAAAGAAAAAAGTGGTAAGTTCATTTTACGATGGCTTTACATACATTGTCTGACGAAAGATAAAGGTTGGCTTCTCCACAAAATCCTTTCACCTCACTGGAGAGAAGTGGGTGCTTTTCTTAAAAGCAAGGGGTTACATGCTGGCAATTGTGTGAACATGGCAATGGACTGACTTTACTTAGAAACTAATTTTGGTAATCATCTAAATTAAGCATAGTAGACAGTACTGCTGTATAGAGCAAAGCCAGTTGTGCAATATGAAACTTTTGCAATATTCATACAACCTCCAACATGAATGGTATCCTATAGAGTTATGCACCACAGCAGCCCTGATAGTAGGTATCTATTAAAAAACATTAAGATGGTCTCACTCATAGCAGGAATTTAGAAAACCTAAATAAGGGACCAGGAAAAAGAATAACTATAAGAAAGTAAAAATCAAAATCAACAAGCAACTGTAAACCAGAGACACACTACGGGGGTAGGGAAAAGGGAAGTGGGATTAGGGTCAAAATAAGGGGGGTGGGAATTGAATGGGGAATATAACCAAGATGAAAATGCATACACTGTGCAAAAGTGAAAAATGATATAAAAAATATATAAAAAAAGAAAAAAAAAACATTATGAGCTTTAAAGTTTTTCCACTAAGATCCACGTTCACCACTACTATTCAATATAGTATTGGAAGTTCTAGCTAGAGCATTAGACAAGAGAAAGGAATACAAATTGAGAAAGAAGAAGTAAAGCTATCATTATTTACAGATGACATGATAACATAGAGAATCCTCAATCTAATATGGAAAAACTAATAGAATCAATCAATTTAGCAAAGTTAAATACCTAGGAGTAAACCTAACAAATGAGGTAAGAGATCTATACAAAGAAAACTATAAGACATTGTTGAAAGAAAAAGACGACATAAAGAAATGGAAATATATTCCCTGCTCATGGATTGGAAGAATCAACATTATGAAAATGGCCATCACGCCCAAAGCAATATTTAGATTCAATATAACCTCACTAAAAATATCAATGGCATTTTTTCAAAGAACTGGAACAAACATTACTGAAATTTATATGGAATTACAAAAAAATCTGAACAGCAAAAACAATCCTGGGGAAAAAAAAGAGAATGGAGGGATCACACTTTCAGACTTCAAATTACATTAAAACAGCCTAATACTGGAACAAAAGCAGACACACAGACCACTGGAATAGAACTGAGAGTCCAGAAATGAGCTCTCACACCTATGGGAACAATGAATCTATGGCAAAGGAATCAAGAACATACACTGGAATAAGGATAGCTTCTTCAATAAATGGTGTTGAGAAAATTCAACAGCTGCATGTAAAAGAAATGAAACTATACCACTAACTCTCACCATCCACAAAAATCAATTAAAAAATGGATAAAATACTTGGATGTAAGACCTGACACCATAAAATACATAGAAGAAAACATAGGCAAAACATTTCATGACATAAGCTTAACAGTCTTCTTTAGGGATTCAGTCCCAGCAGCAAGGAAAACAAAAGAGAACATAAACAAATGGGACTATATCAAACTGAAAAGCTTCTGTACAGTGAAAGAAACCATAACTAAAACAAAAAGATACCCTACTGAGTGGGAAAAAATATTCACATTCCATACAACTGACAAGGGCTGATAGCAAAGATAAACAAAGAACTCATAAAACACTATAAAAACAAATCAAATAGCCCAATCAAAAAATGGGCAGAAGGACTAAACAGACAATTTACCAAAGACATACAGACTATAAGACAGGTAAATGAAAAAATGTTCACTAACACTTATAAGAGAAATGCAAATCGAGAGCATAATGAGATACCATCTCATGCTTGTGAGAATGGCCCATATGGAAAAGACCAGAAACACCAAGTGCTGGCAAGGACATAAAGAAAAGAGAATTGTATGGGGAATATAAAAATTAAAAAAAAAAAAAAAAGAACCTTCCTACACTGCTGGAGGGAACGCACACTGGTCCAGCCCTTATGGAAAGCAGTAGGGAGGTGTCCCAAAACATTAAAGATGGATCTGCCATACAACCCAATAATTCTACTCCCAGGCATCTACCCCAAAAATTCAAACACTAATTTCAAAAGGAAACTTGCACTCCCATGATTATTTATTGCAGTGCTATTTACTGTAAATTATGGAAACAACCTAAGTGTCCTAAAACAGATGCATGGATCAAGAACATGTGGTATGAATACAAAATGGAATATTACTCAATGATCAGAAAAGATAAACTCATGCCATTTTCAGCAACATGGGTGGAGCTAGAGGGATAATGTTAAGTGAAATAAGTCAGAAGGATAAAGATAAATACAGGATGGCATCAATAATATGTGGAATATAGAATAAGAAGCAGATTAAAAACAAGCTTAAATCTAACACTTGAAAGCTGACTACAGAACTAAAGCATCCAGAGGTGGGGTGGGGTGGGGTAGGGGTAAGAACTTAGAGCCAAGGAAGCATAATGGACTATGGTAGTAGACTATCGGTGACTTGGTGGTGGGTGCATTACAGTAGTAATACCTGATGGGGGTATCCAAATATTACCTCAATTAAAAACAAGCAAATAAATAAATTTAAATAAATAAAAACAATGTGCGCTTCATGAAGGCAGGGAGTTTCAGTCAAGGCTATGCCTTAATACAAAAAACAGGGTCTGATCAATAAATATTTGCTGAATGGGTGAATGAACTAATGAAAGAAAAAGGGAAAACTGAAGTCTGTAAGCAGAGCAGAGAGATGTGTATGTTACAGAATTCCTCACAATTGAAAGAGGTTGAATGAGTCAAAAAATCCTCGATCTTGAATTTCTACTTATTCCAAAGGGGGAGGAGGAGGAAGGGATAAAATAACCAGTGAGAATATTCTTGTAAGGTTTTACTATGTTCTGGCATGATTTATTAAGGACTGAGCTAAAGTTACATAATAAAGAGGGATATAAAGACCACATTTGTATAGATGGAGATTTTCTTCTTAGTTAACAGACTAAGTAAGTAAAAAAAAAAGTCACTAACTGCTTGTTTTCTATCAAAAGCATACACATAACCACAACCCTACAGAGAGGTAAGAGTCAGAAAAGAGTCTTTTCACTGTATAGTGAACTCCCCTTTCTCCATGCTGATTCTTGAACACATAATCAAGTGAGATAAACACTACAGAAGTGATCTATAAATTGTTATGTGCTACACAATGTTAGCTGTTTAATTAACAGAATTGTTGTTTAATTAACAGAAATAGTTCATAAAGATTAATCAATTAATGTCCACTAACCATATTTCATGCTTTAGCAAACATACATGTATATAAATAGATAAGTTAACTGTTCATTCTGTAGACTTGATTTTCATACTGTTCTATTTATCAGCTTTCCGCTAGACAGAGTTCTGTTTCTTTACAATCCTCAACATCTTTTCATGATCCATAAATAGATACAGAATTTCTAAGGGCATAGGTTATTGCTGCTTGCACAGAATTTCTTTTCACATTACCAGTATTTTTAAAGTTTCAGCTACAAAAATTTATTTCAAAAGAGGTGACGCCTCAAAATGTCCTAATATGACTCCTCCACTGATATGTCACAAACACATCATCTCACCAGGGAAATCTGCTAAGTTGTTTTAAAATTTGAGCAATGCAAAGAAACTTGGTGAAATTTTCTCTTTTTTTCCCCAATCTGTTTTCTGCAGTTATTTGGCACACTCTATCTGTAATTTCTATTAAAACAACAAGACAGGGCCTCCCCTGGTGGCGCAGTGGTTGAGCGCTGGGCTGCAAGGCTGCCCACAGCCTCTGCAGTGCCGGTTCGATGCCCGGCAGCAGGCGAGGGTCCCACAAAAAAAAAACCCCACAAAAAACAAAAAACAACAAAACACCAAAAAAAACCCCAATAAGACAAAAAAAACATAGCTCCTCACTGTGTAAAAAAGCTGCAGTTGTGTTCTCTGGGAGGAACCACCCCCACTCACAGCCACTGGATGTTTATCAGGATAGACTAGTTGAGCAGTGTGAAAGATAGAGTGGGAAGTTCCCTGTAACCAAAACAAAAAATGTTACAGATATTTAAGTGATCCTTAACAACACTATTTTCCTAGCCAGGATATGTTTAGGTGTATAATAGGTTATAAAACCAACCAAAAAACATAGACAACTGGTATATATTTTCCTCAGATGTGGTAATGTAGTGTACCAAGGGAAGTAAAGTTCACTTTTTGTCTGGACAAAAAATTCACATGGTTTAAGCTCCAAATGAAGCCAGAGTATTCAGCAAGAAGTTTTTCTCCACCTTATGACCCAACCACCTACCTCCTCTCCCCAGAAGCATAAGCCTTTTAGAGAGCTATAAACACGTGTGTGTGTGTGTGTGTGTGTGAGAATTTTATTTCTCTTTCTTTACACAATTGGTGGCATGTGTATACCACTTCTAGGTAAGCTCTTAAGTACTTCTACTACACTATGGAAACACAATAGGCTTCTCTTTGAATGTCTTTTTGGATTGAACAATATCATCTTCTTTAAGAGTTGTGTTGTAAAGGAGTTGGAGGCTAACAGACTTGGAAGGAACGCATGATTGAGCCACAGTATCTGCCATTTATTCCTATTTTGTGTCTTATTGTATCTTGCATAGGTTTCTATTATAGGAATTATCACACTTTCTTATACTTTAGTACGGAGTATCTGAGGGTAGGTAGCAGTTCCTTTCACATATGTAATGCATATATGTACTGCATCTACCTGGCACAGTGCCTAGCACATAATTAACACTCAATAAATATTTACTGAATAGTTCCTTAGCAAAATTCCCAATGTTCCATGAAAATATGGACTTGATTGACCCCGGAACTGTACATTTGTAACGAAGGTGTACTGAAACATGTGACAGTACTTTCCCAGTCCCTTTCAGAAATCACAGCAATGCCATCTGGCACTCAACCTGCTTGAGAAAAAATAATTACACAAAACTTTACACATGATCATATCCTGTGCGTAATCATCTAGTTTCCAATCACTGCCATCTAAAGAGAAAACGGTTGTATAACATGTGATTTCTGAAACAAAAGTGAGGTGAGGAGAAAGGTCACAAGATGGTGGAAGAAAACTGAATGGAATCATGAGTGAAAAGGAGAGTTATGATTTTTTTTAAATAAGTAAGAAAAATTAAGAACCTTACTCACTTAAGATTCCATCTGCTAATCTTTCTCACTCTCTTATATGAACTTGTATTTTCCATATAAGTACTGCCATCTACAGTACATGTAGGAATCATGATATTTTTAAGGGGGTAAATAACTGAAATGAAAAGTCTGGCTCACTATAGGCTAACATCTTCATGCCCTTTTAAACACATGCAGTTATTAAAGTTACATGGAGTATAACTTTACTATATCACATATAAGGAAAGGTAGTAATATTAAATGGTTGGTTATCATCATTTAAAAATTAATAGGGTCTCCCCTGGTGGTTCAGGCAGTTGAGCGCAGTGCTGTAAAGCTGTTCACAGCCTCTGCAGTGCAGGTTTTATCCTGGACAGCCGGCAAGATACCCACATGGCGAGGCAGACCTCTCCTGTTTCACCCACTACGCCCCTCAGCAGTGTATTTCGATCTGTCTGTTCTGTTCCCCACTCTGTCTATGGTGAATCCTCTCACCCTCCCACACATCTGGCCTGTACTCCCGCTCTTGTATAAATAAATTTTTTAAAAAAATAAAATAAAAATTAATATTATAAAGTTGGAATTTATGATTTAAGTCTTCTTATTAAAGAGTTCAGATTTTATTTCTTATTTTATTTAAAAAATTTTTTTAAGATTTTATTTATTTTTGCATAGAAGAACTGGGGTATAGGCCAGAGGGGTGGGGAGTGAGAGGAGTTACCAGAGACAGAGTGGGGAGCAGAACAGGCAGATCTACTGAAATACACTGCTGAGGGGAGCAGCAAAAGCAATTGGAGCGGTCTGCTGTGCCATGTGGGTTACCTCCCTGGCCAGGGAATGAACTTAGGCCATCGCAGTTGAGCTTCACCCCTAGGTCACCAGGGAGGCCCTAATTTTCAGTCCTTAAATTACATACATACATATATATATATATATATATATATATATATATAATTATAATATATATATAATTTTGAAGTAGAATTTTAAGAAATGTTTTTAATATGCTCAAATTTCCAATTATTTCATATTGATATATATAAACATGGATTCTCTAGAAAGAAATAAAAAAAAAATATTAAAAACTAAAAGGAGTGTCTTGAAATTGGTGGGATTCCTCTTTACTCACCTGAGTTAGCCTATGGATAGACAGGGTAGAAAGGGAAGAAGAACATCAAAAATAAACAGACTGAAATTTCTAGATGCAACATGAAAAGTCTGAACAAAGGTACCCCAGGCCACAGTTGATTTTCAAGCTACCAAGAGGGCATTATACCAATGTGTTGTGTTGTCATAATATAGTTTGAAGGTAAACAAATTAAATCTATTAGAAGCATTTTTTAGAATTAAAAGGAGGAAATTTTATTTTGGAGATAATAAAAAATATCCACTAATACTATGATGAAAAAGAATTTTTCTTTTAACCAACTAGTCTCAACTGGGTATTAAATTTCATTTTTCTTCTCAAATTTCATCTTATTAAGGATGCCACGTTTGATAACAGGGAAAAAAAAGTTAAACAACATTTATTTATTCAGAGTAAGATCTATTCAGAGTAAGTTTATGTATGTGATATGTTATATTCTATAACATTAATTGCAACAGAGTTTCTATTAATATAATTGACACATTTAGAAAAGAGCATAAAAAAATCTATGCAAAGACCTGGAAAAGAATTTCTAATACTAACAAAATTTACATGGAAGAGAAGATGAAATGTGAACATGGATAGGTAGAAATAATTAGCAGGCAAGAATCATAATTAAGCTAAAAGAGAAAGGATATCACCAGTCTAGTTTTGGACTCAATTAATAAACTCTCCATAATCCCACAACATACCACAACTGACAAAAAGGAGCCTGTGGTCAAAGATACATAAACAAGAACTAGGTATGGCCATGTAATTGGAAAGCTGGGAAATGGTGGGGAGAAGGAACAAACAATAAGCAATGGGGAGGGAGCAATATTGTAATTAGGCAGCTTTTAAGAAAGTTATAACTAGGGCCTCCCCGGTGGCACAGTGGTTGAGCGCTGGGTTGTGAAGCTGCCCGCAGCCTCTGCGGCGCTGGTTCGATCCCCGGCTGCTCCATGGCCACCGGAGGAGTGTCCCACATGGCCCGCAGACCTCTCCTGCCGCCCGCTGCTCCCCTCAGCAGTGTACTTCGGTCCTTCTGCCTGCTCTGCTCCCCGTTCTGGCTCTGGTGAATTCTCTCACCCTCCCGCGCTTCTGACTGTACCCAGTGCATGTATAAACAAAACAAACAAAGAAACAAACAAATAAATAAAACATGCCTCTATTAAAAAAAAAAAAAAAAGAAAGTTATAACTAACTTTGTGTGCTACATATCTGACAAAGTCCCTAGCTGTTTTTTTAAAACAATGTTTCATACAGACTGTAACATTTTTCTCAACTGGTATTTTAGGAAGAAAAGAAACAGGAGAGGCTGCATAATGGAGTATTTAGGGCAAAAACTCAAGCCAGATTTCTTGACTTCAAATTCTAGCTCTTTTACTTACTAGCTGTGTGTTTTTAAGGGTGTTACTTTACCTCTCCAAGTCTCATCTGTAAAAATGGGAACTAACACTACTTCCTAACTAATAGGAAGATTTATTTGTTGAGGATTAAATGATTAGTAAATTAACTTATTGTTTATAAAGCCTCCTGGACTATATTCCACCATAAGCACCATACTATGTTTGCTAAATAAAATCTGTCCCCAATTATTTAGATAGCCGTCTGGTTTGGCCCCCATGAGTGAGAAGGTCTCCAGATGTATATATTATGATGACAATAGGTGGGAGTTAAAAAAAAAGGTTTTCTACTTTCGAAGAAGTCCTACTTTATTTTCTGTTCTATTTCCCCCGTGTTTCTTAACTGCCTCTATAATGCTAATTTTTAAAATTTATCCAGACAACAGATAACCTCCTGCTCAGAATTCTTAAGTGTTCATTTCTGCCAGACTTACTGTGCTCTTATGGAAATGACAACAGAAAGGAGGAATATATCACACTTTACTATATAGATGACAGTAAGCATTAAAGTAGATATTTGGGTAGAGCTTGAAGTCTCAACAAGATTATATAAAATCAGCTCCCATATAGGGATGCTAATGTGATTCCTAAAGAGTAATAGTAAAGCCTTCCAATAGTTTATCAGTGAAAAACCAAGTAGGTAGAGAGCAAACTGTTGACCTTGTTCATAGTAACAATCTCTAGAACAAGGATAATGAAAAAAATAACTTGGAAAGTTCACACATGGAGGCAAGTGTCACTGAGACTCACAACATTGGAAAGGTGTATTCTCTTCTAGTGATGTTGTGGTTGATGCACAGTGACGTTTTTTTCTAATACAGATAACAAAAAAGATACAGACACAATATTACAGTAATAACGGGAAATGTCATTGGGGAGAGGTTTCATTCTGGTAAAAGTAGAGCACCTGATAAATTGATACCATTTGATAATTTCATTTCTCAGAAAGCAGAGGAAACAACACAGAGAACTGCTATTCAGGCTGACAACGCTATGATGGCTGACAAATAGGAAACTATAGGCAAGGCAGGAGTGACAAGAACTTTAGAAATGAGGCTGCTTGCCAAATTATCGGAGCAAAGAAATGAAACCTTTCATATGGCAGGACCCTAGACTCCACAAAAATACGTTTCAATGTGTTCAGAGACAGGATGGGAGTAATTCCAAGACAGAAATTCTAACAGGAAGTGTAACCTAAGACAAAAGACTTCAAAAACAAAATTATATTATTGACTCTAGTAAGGAAAAAAGGAGAGTGCAACTAAAGGGCAAATAAAAAACTCAAACAAATATATTTATTAAAAGATGAATGCAAAGAGTGACACAAACTCACTACACTATCAGGA